AGAGACCAAATTATTGACAGAAACTCACAAACACACTCAATTTTAATTTTTGTTTGTTTCTTATGATTTATTTTTTTTTTTCAAGCATGTTTAGAGTTGCATATTCACTACAATCAGCCAGCGGATAAGATGTTGAACTTTGTCTGACCCTTGTTCAGTTAAAAGCTAATTGTAACGAATTCCCACCCACTTGGCAATTAAACCCATATGTCGTATATACATATGTACTTACATAAATACATACATAAAAGTATGTGCATCTTTAATACGAATGTGTGCATACATAAGTACATAAGTCCAAATGTCCATGTCAAAGTGGTTCTGCTTTTATGCTCCATAACGGTACATAAATATGAATGTATGTACTATAAATACATTAACGATTGCATTCGCTTCCCTCTGTTTTAGTACAAATGCCTATTAATTTCAACAATTTTATTGAGCTTGAGGCCGTTTTTTTTAATGAAAATTTTTGTGGAAAAAACCACAATTTACAATTTGGTAGAAGTTACAGCCAGTGATCGGACTTAAAAAAAATTCTGTGTGGTAGAATCTGAAAAAAATGTGGTAGATTTCAAAAAAATGTGGAGATCTCAGGTTTTGGATCAAACTTTGTACAAAAATTATAGAAATTCTGTAAGGTTTCACCTAAATTGCAAACTTTTTAATTAGACTCTAAAAAAATTAATTTGTGTATAACAAAGTTCCTAAAAATTGCATTGAGTTTTGGCAATACTTTCCTTGACAGTGTACAGCGGTTCCTTCCACATAAAAATATTTTTCGAACATGAATTTTTTTGCAACCTTGCGGAGTGCTGTCAGCGTTTCATTTTATCACATCACGATGTAGCGAACAAATGTGGCACGTTACAGAAACCGCTACTTGTGATTTGCCGATTTTGACAATTCCCAAGTAAATGTAAACAACGCCTCAGAATGCCTTAGGTGCACTGAAATTTGCTAATACTTTCACAAAAATCGCCGTTTTTTTAATTTTCGCTATTAATTTTTTTTATAAATCATATATTTTAAAATTTAACGTAATGAAACCACGTTTCCTGTCGAAAAATTTATTATTGAAAAAATTTACTATTTTACAGTTTATTTTATCCTCCCATTCGGCTTTGTTTACTTTTACTTGAGAAATTTCATCGCCGACGGCAATGCGGTTCTTGTATTATATCACTCTTGTTACCATATAGTATTAAGTGTTGGACAATTTTTGCTCTTAAAATTAAGAAAATTATGTCGAGCAAAAATAAAACTAGGTACTCAAAAACGCGAATATGTGGTAGATTTCAGACCTTGTGTGGTAGATGTGGTAGATGCTCAAAAAAGTGGCAGATCTACGACAATGTGGTAGAAGTCCGATCACTGGTTACAGCTGCTATTTCGGGGATAACCTCATCTCCTCATCAGACTTCGTTCACTGGGATTCGATCCATCGTCCCCGGCGGCCAAAGCCAGTTGCCTACGCACTGTGCTAAGTTCGCCACGTAAACTGTTGTTGCTTTTTCCACTTTTTTCTTGTGTTAATCCCACTACAATCAAGCGCAGCTATTCCGCTACTATTTACACTTGATCTTGTGATTGTTTGGATTTTGTTAATAATTCTATTTTTATAATTTTTAATTTTTAGGTTCTTAAGTTATTTGTTTTTGTAATTTATGGCTCAATAAAATTGTTGAATATAATTAAATAACAAAAACAAAGCATCTAATTTTTATTATTTATATAGAATATGCAGAATGCAATTTGGCAAGTTTGCTTAAAAACCAGTTTGAGTTATAAAGTACTAAATCCATACATAGAGCGCAGCTATTCCGCTACTATTTACACTTGATCTTGTGATTGTTTGGATTTTGTTAATAATTCTATTCTTATAATTTTTAATTTTTAGGTCCTTAAGTTATTTGTTTTTGTAATTTATGGCTCAATAAAATTGTTGAATATAATTAAATAACAAAAACAAAGCATCTAATTTTTATTATTTATATAGAATATGCAGAATGCAATTTGGCAAGTTTGCTTAAAAACCAGTTTGAGTTATAAAGTACTAAATCCATACATAGATACATATGTATGCATGCACACTAATGTACATACATACGTATATGCACGTATGCATACTTCGGTACATATTTTAAATACTTACAAATTTTTAATAAGTCGTCATTTCACTTTGATTTGTTAACACATTTCTATTTGCTTAGGCATTTCTCTTAATTCTTACAAATTTTACTAATGAAAATAACTATTAGGGAGTTCACAAAGTGTGGCTTACTGCCGTATTGTTGTAGATCGTATTTTCGTAAAATTACTAACATAGCTGTGAAACTTTAAGATCTACAACTATACGACAGTATACAACACCTTGTAAGCTCCCTAATTTACTATGAAGTATTAAAACTGAAAGTAGTGATATTTATATAACTTTTTTGATATACATAATTGCATTCAGTTTTAATGCAACCCTGCGCAAGTTTTGGGAGGGTACCGTTCAATACTTAAAATATACAAAATTTTACAGTTTACAAAAAGCATTCAGACCCGCGAGCTTTCCGGGGCGTTTCCAGTTTATAGAATTGATGTTAGAATTAATCTGGGACTTACCTGTCATCACTGATGTTAATTCTGACTTTGCAATTTAATAGTAATTTCTTCTGTCAAGCGTTTTACCAGGCATTAATATCATCGATGACAGTTAAGTCTTAAGTGGATTTTTATATCAGAATCTCATTTTTATGAAAAGTACAGATAGAGGGCATTGAATATACGCGATATCGATACAGTTAGAAATTAGTAATGGCCACTCGTGGCTGTTTTCACTAAGAGGAGAAATTCTAGAATAGCTCCAGCAAGATAGCAGCGCTAGTATGCCCTACTAATATTGTAATAAATGCGCCATTTACATTTTCCAACAACAGAACTCAGTTATTTTAGCTATGCCCGAGTCGGGATTATCTTTAAGGAGTGATTATAAGAAAACATAAGTAAATTCTGTTCACAACTTATTTCAATTTCACATATCGTGCATGCACACATTTACATATTTGCTTTTGTAAGCCAATGATTCATAAATACCTACATACGTTTTACACTTAGCAGTTAAATTAACAGGTTAATTAGCGTTGCGAATACAAAAAACACTTGTGTAAATCGAACACCTCAGATGTGCGTATGGATCGGTGTTCCATATATATATACATTATTTATTACACTCACTCACTTGCATGCGAACGTATATAGAGAGATTGCCTTTTGAATGTAAATAAATACCCGCTCTCAAATTGACAGGTGTATGTGAAAAAGGCAAAACGAAGGAAAAATAAATAAAATTTGTGAAAACAGTGACATTTAGTCACCGTCCGTGAATATTTACAGTACTATGAACTTGTGAGGAAATAAAATAATTACCTTAAAATTGCCTTCGAGGTTTTTTACCTTCGATTATATGTGCTGAGAATTCACAAATTGACGCTTACAATTAAAGTATGCATGTATGTATACACATATATGTATTTAAATTAGGGCTGTGTGATTAATTGATTACTCAAATTTTTAATTAATCATAAAGTAAATAACTCAGTTATTCGATTAATTAGAAGTTATGATTACTCAAAAGTTCATTTACTCGAGTAATAAAGATTTTTGATTAACCAAAAACAAAAATATTTGAGTAATTTGCTTTATGATTAATCAACATTTCGAGTAAAATGAGTAATCAACATTTCAACTCTTTACATATGTATAAAGTAGTTAAAGTTCCTTGATGCTTTGAAAACAACGTTTCTGTTTTCAAAAATTAAAACAAAAATTTTTTTTTCATGCACAGAATGTAAAAAAGAAAATAAGCATTTTCCAAAGCAAACTCTTTTAACGAGCAAAATTATTTTTTTTGAGTAATCATATTTCAAGTAACTCGATTAATCATCGTTTTGAGTAATCAAAATCTTGATTACTCGAGTAATTGATTAACCGAATAATTGATTAACCAACGTGCTCGAGTAATCGAACAATCGCACAGCCCTAATTTAAATATGTACCTATGTAGTTACATGAGTATTGTAGAATTTAGACAAAAAAAACTCGTTAAACGCAATAAAAATGCTTTAAATGCCTAATTATTTTAATCACACCAGCGACCGATGTAGGCAAGTACATTTGCGTGTGGCAAGCTGGCGGTGTTACGTGAGTTCGTATCTTACTTCGTAGATGGAGCTGTAAGATTTAGAATGGCTTCTCCTTAACCTTCGAGCGGAGTTTTGTTTGGTACGTCTATAGTTTAGATTTGCATATGGGATATATAAAGTCGAAATTTTGATATTTCTACATTATAAGCTCGGCCAAGTTATGTCTAAAATATTTGCCTTACAAATACCCATTGTATGTATGTACATGTGCATGTATGTATAGTATGTATATAAAAATTAACTAAACTGAGTTACATTCCTATAGCAAATCACTCAACTTAGCATATCTCAAAACTTAAATGAGTGAGTATGAATTGTACTAAAGTAACTCAGTGGAATACAAATATTATTTTCCCATATAGAAGAGACTCTTCAGATCTATCTCTCAAAGCGTAGTAAATTCATTAACTTAATCAATGTTTGAACTTTTGTTTTTGCGGGAAAGATTATTAAGGTTAATGTTCATAGTTGTTGAGAATGGCTAGTCACACGATTGGATTCATGGTCCAGGAAGTTCCGGAGCTTCCGGGTAATACATTGATCGTATGGAGCAAGAATGTAGTTTGCCAATCAGCCATAGTAACTCAAAAAGTAAAAATACCTAAACATTAAGAACTCATCAAATTTTTACTCAACGTCCTTATTGTCTCTGTACATACATAAGTGGACTATTATTTACTATTTCTTTTACTGTGCGAATGATGTCATCACTTTGCAATTTTATTATGAGATTAAGTTGCAATCAGATTGTTAATCCAAGTAAGAATCCTCCCTTAACTCAAATAAACGACAGCGTTTTCCCTTTTAGCTACATTCGCTTCCTGTAGGCAGAAATGAGCACATACATATATAAATATTTCACATTGGTTTGAAAAGGAGAGTTTATTTACCCAGCATAGTTCCTCAGTTGAAGCAACTAAGTATTGTTTTTTAGGTTAACTGTTGTTTTAGAGTCTTATTTGCTTGCTCTCAAACTATGTATTTGACGATTATGTTGATTTTACGAGCTTACTGTTGTTACTTATGGCGGATATTCTAATAGCCCATGTATGTACTATGTATATGCATACGTATGTATATGTGTATAAATACTTTGTTGGCTTCTAGACTTAGAGAATTAGAAAGCACTTACGCTTGGAACAGCGGCCATATACCCGTAGTAAGTACTGGGTGTCCGATGGCAGAAGTAGGAATCAAACGCAAAATTAAAAAACAATTAATAATGATAAAAGTTTATTTCAATAACTATTACAAAGAAGACAAGTGCGAATTTCGTTTGTTTTTTAAATTATGTCGTCTTGAAATCTAGCCTCCGTACTCCGTGCCATTCGCTGGAGAACAGATGTCGGGATACCATTAACCTCGCGAACGATATTTTCTTTTAGTGCTGAGATGGTCGATGGTTCTATAGACTTTACTTTTCAGATACGCCCACAGAAAAAAATCCATAGGGTAAGATCGAGAAAAATATCCATAGGTGGTTTGGGGAGAAACTTCAAATCTAAAACCGAATGCTGCCACCGGACACCCTTTATGTTATCATACATAAGTGCATATCTAAGACTAAAGCAGCAAATCTGTTTATTGAAAATTTTGGATGTTTGAATTACAACATACTGAGTTTTTAAGTCAGTTAATCTGTATAAATAACTGCATAAAGTATAACTTTTTGAATGCCACTTCACGACTATTCACTTATATTACGTAAAATTGAAATCGGGGTATAGGCTTTCTTGATGTCTAGAGATGAAAATGATTGATAACGCTTAATTAGTTTTTTTTTTAAATATATATCACAAAGTACAACCAAGTCGAAAATCGATTTATGTGCTACTTTCTTAATTAAAGTACATTTTTGCTGAAAAAACTGTCCAAAAATTAATTAGTCTGGCTGTGAAAATACATCTTTTTTGTGGAATGATCGAATAAGGAACTTACGAAAGCAAGATGCAAGTTGTTATGCTTTACCGCAAATTGAATTCGTTCTAAAACTTTATTTTGGACAGAAAAGTTACGAAAGGCTTGTGTGCTTTTCTAGCCTTCAATTTGTATCTTTTCAGAATTTTCAGCGTTGCTTAGGTATTTATCTCCAAGGAGTATTGGTTTCAATACTTACAAGAGCTGACGAAGGAATTTTTTCTTCTTTACAAACTTTCATTTATTCTAGAATGTTTCGTCTCATTCAGTTTTCACTTTGTGCTTTTACGGTTATTCCTGTCCGAATGTTGACCTTTTTATTTAAAGTTTCCAAAATTTGTCTGCATTAAGTGCTGCAGTAGTTGCAATGCAACGTCTTCGGTATGATTACCCCCAAGGATGTTCATCATAATACACTGCGATCAGCTAATTAAGCCAGCAACCTTTTGACCAATGTTGGCTATTTTTCTTTTGTTTATTTCTTCATAAATGTCTAGCACATAAACTAACATTTCAAAATTATAAAAAATCTGCAAAATATCATCTAAATTTTCATTTTCAACTTTTTGCAAGTTCAGCCTTGCACATTATGATGCTAGTATTTAATGGACTAAAAAACTATATTACCCAAAAAAAATTATGAAAAGTCTGAATAAAAAGCTGTAAATTTAGATGGAATTTTACAGATATTTTGCAATTTTTGCACAATATTTGAAATAAAGATTTATATGGTGTTTGTTGTGTAATGAGCTAGGCTTATATGAAGAAATAATAACATTAACAGGTCTATTCTACGCTGGTAATAAAAAGTTTGTAACCTGTAAATAAAGTTCCTATCAATTTTTAAACCCTTTTCGCATTCTGTGTACTCTTGTAACCGGTAATTTTTGTTACCATCTCATAAGCAGGTAACAAATTATTGCCCCGTGAAATATGCAACTACATTTTTACTTCAATGATTAAGACCTTAAACCTCAGTTTCAATCGAAAATATTATTGCCAACATTTTACTTATAAATATGCCACTAATCTACAAGCGTTTCTCACAAACTTATGGTTACAGCTTCACTCTCTGAATAATTTTCTGGACATACATATTTAGTTACAAAAAAGTTTTACCTCACAAATGAAAATTCCATTAGCCGTGCCTATTTATATGCAAATATATTTACGTATACAGTATATGTGCATATGTATAAATAAAGACTGAAAAGACTGAAAGCTAAAATAAAAAACCCGAATAACTTGTTTGAAAATTGTTACGAAAATTCTCAAAGTAAAACGCAGAAATATTTGACTTGAATACCAAGTTGCAGTCAAAGTTGTTCACAACAATCAGTAATAACGCATCAGTTAGGAAAACAAAAGAGATGAATGGTAAAAAAAGAGAACAAACAAACACCAACACACAGCTGACATCATCTTTGGGAACTGCACTCAAAACAAACAAGTGGTGGGGGCACAAGTAGCATTGCATTGGGGGCCATTTGAGTAGCAAAGCAACTTTAGCCGTTTCCACTCACTCACTGAACGGCTCAACGCGATTTGAGTGATGTATAAAAACAACTTTTTATTTAACAATTGCTGACCACGAATGAGTTCAGCTCTTTACGGTTTTGTAAAGTTTACTCATTTAAATAAATGCTAATGCGACAATTTACTTGTAGTGACCACAGTGGCGCTCTATTAAGGCAAACAAATACGTACATGTTTAGTGAAACCGCGATATAATAAACCTTGATAGAATGGAAAAGTCAATATGTATAACAAAATTTTTGCTGCTCCATAGATATAACGCCGCAATTTTGAGCATGAAAACCTACTGAATATATGTATTCATGATTAAAGTCCCGTTAGCAAAAGCCTCGATGTAACAAAATCTTGTCTCAAAAGCCTCGGCATAGCGCGAATTCTAAATAAATTGACGATTCGGGACCCGCTATAAAAATCCTAAGCTATACTTATTTTTTTTTTTTTTTTTTTTTTTTTTCGTTGTATCGAGGTTTAACTTCATTACACTATCACGGATACACTGTACCTGTTTTATACTTACATATGTACGTATGTATGTACATGTGGCTCAGTGGCTTCGGGGTGAGAAAACTCATTGGGCTTGGCACTTTTCTGGCGATTCCACTCAAAACAAAAGTGAACAACAGACCGGTATTCACTCCACCGTAGTGGCGCTGTGCTGTCGATGATAAAATTACTACGGCTTTTATGTATGAGCGGTTTTGAGTGTTTATAAGTGTGTGTGGGTGCGTGTGTGTTGCATATACAATTTGACAGCGACAAGTAAGTAAGTCAGTAATCCAGTTCGGTGTTTGGGTGCCCACGCCCGCCACAGTTGCGCCCGTATCGTGCTACTTACAAGACGTCTTCTACGCAGGTTAGCGCAAAGGAAGTGTTGTGTTTTGTTTCGCCTTGTTTAACATCATTTAATTCATTTTTAAATTTAAAAAATTTAAATTAAAAAAAATATAATAAATTTGCAACAATCGCAAATATTTTTATCGTTCAAAAAATTCTTATAATTTTAAATTCGAGGCGAAAAGTTTTAAGTTTTTCGGATGCTGTAAAAATCGCTTTGAATTTATTTGCATAAATACATATATATTTTTATATCAAGTGTGTTAACTTTGAGAAACAGTTATATTTGGAATATAATCAATTGGGGTATTCACAACGGTGTCGTAAGTGACGTATTGTTGTATGCCGTAAATTTAAGAAGCTTAAATAAATGGCCAGAGGACTTGAAAGCACCTCCAACTATTTTCTAACACTGTGAAAATTCATAATATGACTTTTTTTAAGTTTACGACAAACAACAATACGACTCTACGACACCGTTGGGAATGCACCAATTATAAAATTGAAAAGAATACATACATATCAAAAAATTATTTTAATAGCCTTAAGTGATTGTTATTTTTAAAAAATCTTGAATGATTACTTCATAAACTTGGCCACTCAATCATTAAACGTTAACATTTTGAGTGCTGAAAAATTGATTCTTACATACTTATGTATATATGTATAAATGTATGTATGTCTATAGACAATTCTAATGATTTTTTCGTTTTTCTCTTTTTATACAAATTCTTAATGCATTCCGATGATGAAGTTCAAATTTGCGAATTAACACCACCAATTCAAATTACAAAAGAAACGAAATGGTTTCAGCAGTTAAATCGTTGTTGGCTATCGCCGTTATTGCCAGTGTTGTCTGCTCAGGTGAGTTTACAATTTTGTTTTGAAGATTGTTAAAAAAATATTATACAAAAGATTGTAAAAAATTAAAAACTAATATAAACGAAATATTATAAACTGAGAAAAACTTTAGACAAAAGCAAATAAAATAAAATACGTAACTCAAGAAAATGAAATCAAACAAAACAAAATAACAAAATTCAAACAAATTTAAAATGAAATACAATAAATAACACAAAATAAAACGAAAAGAAGGTTTTGTTTTGAGTTATTTATTTCCTTTAAACTGAATTTAATAATTTTTTTTCAGTTATTTTGTTTAATAGGTATTATTATACATATTTTATTTTAATTTTATACTAAATGCAATTTTTTATTGCATTTCACTTAACTTTTACAAAATAAAATAAAATGAAATGAAACTAAATTGAATGGAATTAAATAAAACGAAATGAAAAAAAAATAAAATAAAATAGAGTAAAATAAAGCAAGATAAAATAAAAAAAATTAAATAAAAAGTTTTAATTTAACATTTTATTTTTAATATATTTATTGAGCTTTGTACCACGAAAGTTCCCTGCTGAAGTCTAGAAAAAAGAAGTCTGATGAGGAGATATGGTGATCTCCAAAATAGCTGCTATAACTTCTACCGCTTAGACTTTGTTGCTTTTTCAATTTTTCCTAATAAACAATTTAAATTTGTTTTAGAACTGTTTTCTACATTTAGCCCATAATTAAATACAAGTAATTTTTAAGCAAAAAATAAAACCGACCTCAATTCTCAGATCAATATTTAAGAGTACCACGAATTTATAACCTCCTCCTTTTTTGAAGTCGGTTAAAAAAAAACACCTTTTTTATTAGTTGTGAAGAACGATTTATTCAAAATAAAACTTAGCGCTGCATATTTATTAGAAGTCGTGGGGAATCGATGAAATTGTGACACTGTATAACAAGAGGCTAAATTAATTTTTTCATACTAATTCTACATAGAAAAACAATAAAATTATTTAGACAAGAGCAAATATCTCCTACACATCTCTACTAAATTGAATGGTTCGTTTGAACACCAGGTGCAGTCTAAGATGAATCACTTTTACCGCTGTGGGAGGCTGGAGTTGAATTTCGGAAATGCCCAATCCACAGCGCCACCTGGTGGCGGAAGAAATTAATTTTGCAATGGGTCCTTTGCTCACCTGTGAAACATAAAGTTATTATATCATTTTGGTTGAGAAATGTGGGAGAAGGGCCTTCCAGTTGTATGCAATTTACATAAATAAAATTACAAAAAAAAAATGCATATTAAAAATTATATAAACAATTTCATAGGTCCATAAAGGTTTTATTGACTTAAAAAAAATATATAAAAATTGTAAGAGGTATTATTTCATAAAAATAAAATATATTATACTTTCTGAGTCAATATTAAATGCTTAGTAAATATGTACATGTTTATGAGATTTAAATTGTTTCATTCCTGCAGTCCTGTAGAAAAAGGTTAAACATTGTTTCGTCAATCATTTCACCACAGCTCAGATCTGCACCAGGACAATCTAAATGTTATTTTTCAACTTCCTGTTGTTGAACAATGATAACACCATGATTTTTAACATGAAAAGTTATTTATCAGGAAGTAATTAAAACAATTAAAAATTTATTAAAAAAAAAGTATCGCAATCATTCACATTTCCTTTAATAAAGAAATTATTTATCTCTCCCCCTACAGCTTTTGCCGTGCAGTGCTATCTCTGTGACTCAGCCACCGAGCCAAAGTGTGGTGAGAAATTCGAAGCGAGCGAGGGTATGAAATTCGATTGCGCACGCGTCTCCCCGCCACGTTTCCTGCAGAACTTCTTCAATGTACACAATGCCACCGGCTGTATGAAGAAAGTCCTGGATGGTAAGTGATAAATATTCAAGTAATAAATATATGCATGCGTATACATATACATTCATACATTCACCCTTCAACATACATACATATGTACATATGAGCATACATATGTGGCAACTGCTGTGTTACCTCCGTGCCACAAACTGTACTTCATTTCGTGACATAATTTCTCCCAAACGAACTAATAAAGTTGAAAGTGTTTTTTTCGTAATATACGAATGTAACAAACTTACATACATACATACATAGTTTCCTAACTATTGCTAACCGCCAAATATGTCAGTGATGTCATTTGTACCTGGAGATTTTGTTAATTTATTTGCAAGTGTAATTATATATTTCTACATACCTATATGCATATGGATGTACATATGTATATGCTTAGTATACAACTTTACACAAATATACATATTTACATACATATGCCTGCACGCACACGCATACATATTGCTTATGAAGTTGTACGTGTTGTGTGGCGTGTCTTCATGTCGTCATGCTATTGCGCTTTAACTCTTAAGCGAAGCTTCCAGTCGAGCGGCGGAAACCCATGACCGGTTTTTATGTCATTTCATTTTCAACAATGTTCTCAAAAGTGTAGTAATTTTGTAAATAAATACTATGTGAAACATACTGTGCACATTCTCGTATTTGTATATGGAGTCATAAAGATAAATAGCTTATTTATTCAATTATTTCCCAAATACACACAGTCATTCGTAAGGAATTGCAAATTAATCTTCTTCTTTGCAAACATATTTACATTCACATACTTTCACAACTGTATTTGTATTTACTCTAACGGCACTTGTGTAAGGGAAAAAAATTTCCCAATGCTTTAAAATAACAACCGACCCACCTGAATTACGCACTCATATGTGGCGTCCCTGGACGAATATCGATCGTGAAGGATGTATGCGAGTACATTTTTCAATTTCAGATTAATCGTGCCGAACATTTTATATTAATAGTTTAAAAAGTTGCAACTCTTAGATAATTTTCGGATATCGCACTTTTATGACCAGCACTTTGTTAAGGACAGGTTGGTGTAGCTTTCTTCGCTTTTAATTTTATGATCGCCTTTGGAAAATTCAAGCATCGAGGTAAATAGAAACAGATATTCCATGCATCGATCGACATTGCGTGATCTTTCATTACAAACTTTTGCTCAATTGGACGTAAAAAAGACTTGAATGGTCTAATTAAAATTAATAAATGAAACAACCAATGAGTAGCACAAATATTAACATACCAGAGTAATTGCAAACAATAATGAATTATGTACTTTACATACATGTACATACATACATTAAGGTGGTAAAAAAAAATCCAGTGTGTGTTCTATAGCGAGAAAAGTATACCCCTGTTTTGTTTTTTTTTTGAAAACAAAAAATATTTAGAAGTCACTCAAAGCGCTCAACTATTCGTCAAGTATTCGTAGAAATTTTATAGAATTTATGAAAATCAATATTTTTCGATCGGAAAATTTTGTTTCTCTGCAGGCGACTGCTAATAATAATACCCAACAAGAGTTTACAGGATGTACATAGGTCAGTGGTTAACGCTTCTGACTTTGAACATCGAATTCGCAGGTTCGATTCCTGCTGAAGTCTAGAAAAAAGAAGTCTGATGAGGAGATGTGGTGATCTCCGAAATAGTGCTATAACTTCTACCGCTTAGACTTTGTTGCTTTTTCAATTTTTCCTAATAAACAATCGTGGTACAAAGCTCAATAAAAATATTAAAAATAATACCCATTGTTTATTATAGATACCATTTTTAATAAAAGCGATTTTTATGGGTCCACTCCATTGCATTTATTCAGGTTTTTAGGGGTCCTTTAAAAAATAGTTAGTAACAGAAAATATTTAAGTAAACAATTGAATACGGTTGGTTATTGGAAGTCTTCTGAAGAGAAACAAAGTTTTCCGATATTGGTGTTCAAGAATTCTAAAACCATTTCTATGAAAACTTATTTTCCCCATATAAAATACATGGAAAACTTTGAGCGCTTTGAGCGACCTCTAAAGAGTTTTTGATTTCGAAATAAAAATAACAGGGGTATAAGTTTTTTTTGGTGTAGAACAATTCCATTACATTCCAATAAATTCCGACTTTACTTTTTTACCACCCTAATGTATATAAATACATACAGTTAGACATAAATGCGTTTATAATTGCTTTGCCACTTCATCTTTGGATGCGTAACTGGCATGGAATAATGCGCAGAAAACAGAAGTGCATATTTAGTTAATTAGCTATAACAAATGTGTATATAAGTACATACATACATACATACATACATAGTACTAAGCCAATATGATGTGTACGTAGGGTGTGTTCAGAAATGCATCAAGCCAAAGCATCAGACGAATTTATTTCTAAACTATAATTGATGGAAATGTGCATATGCGCAACCACGGTTAAATCCCTAAGTGGAACTTAGTTGTGTAAATAAGGCATTTCCCTCAGTTATAATTTAAAAGTAAAAGAGACTGATGCTTTAGCTTGATGCATTTCTGAACGCACCCGTATTTATATGTAAGATTATATTCATATTAAGAACACAATCTTCGGACACTTCCATATATGTACATATATATGTATAGCTTATATCATCACCAATTCAAAAGGTAAAGGCGAAAGCAAAACCAAAGCTTAACTTTTTTTTCAATTTTGGGACAACTTAATAATAGCAATACTATCGATGTGTATCTGTATGTATGTATATTGCACACATATTGAATAGATCTCAAAGAATTCTTCATCTAACTTTTTAGTAAGACCTATATTTAGACATAAATTCATTTGTGGATGAGATCATATTGAGGTTAAGTGGCTAGAACTGCAACTACAAGTATGTTTATGATTTGTGTGTATACATACATATATGTATATAGTATATATACAAATGTACAAGTGGGTGTAGTGGGTTCGATGACACGGCACACATCCATATTTATACGAAAGCATATGTTTGTTTGTAGAAAATTGGCATGACTGAATTAATTGCAAAAAGCTGAGTAACTAAATAAGATCGACTTGGGTTTGGTTTGTTTGTCATTTACCTTTCCATTAATTACTTCCACGCAGTTAACTCGTTAAACGGACTAGTATTTTATCTTTGCCCCTCAATTTTCGCCTGAATAGGTTAGGTTAGGTTAATTGGCTGAAAAGACCCCGTACAGCCAATTTGTCACATCCTTCGTGTTATCAGACTTAAACGATCTTTCATTATGGGTAAGTAGACCGTATTACAAAAATCAAAGGTTACCTTACCATTTTTAAGATATTGTGCAACCAATTTTTAGTTTAGTTGTCTTCTCTAGTTAGCCAGAGATGCCTCTCTGCCAAAGCAATTTCGCCTTAAATGCTCCAGAGCTGTGCAATTACTTGATATACCACCGTTAGCAATTCGTGGCCAGTTATCAGTCCCTCCAGAAGTCGACAGTCATTCCTGGGTAAACTAAAAAGAAAATCGTTTTCAGATAGTTGTGCTTAAGTATGGCCCTGTGTATTTTTCAGTCACGTATTTGTATCCACCTTGCTTCTGTTGCATTCCCTTTTCTGAGCCTGTAGGAAAAGCGGTACATCTAGCACGACCGTGTTTCAAAAACATGACTTCTGTTTCCTTCTATACCCCTATGTCCAGCAATCCAGCACAAGTGAATTCTCCTAGTTGGCCCAAAGATGTCTAATGTCCTCTAGTCTTTTGGAGCCATCTATGAACACCTGAATACTACTACATTTGGCCTGCAAGCCCACACGCCATCCATCCGCCTCAATCGGGACTGACCAACTTTTCCCGAATTCCCGGTATGGCTTAGTCTACATATCCCCCCGACTGGTGGAAAAACTTTCTATGCCCATGTTTTACCTCTAGGTAATGTGTATTACTTTCCTGTATTTAAGACTTTCCTACCTCTCGTATCTCATATTTTCTGATAAAGAGTACTGGGTCTGCTTTGTATGCATTCTCGGACTATTTGTGAATATCGCGTAGTTTCTAGAATCGTATTGAGCCACAAACCAGAAAGAGCAATGGCAGCATCGTCCGCAAAAGCAGATGTTTTTATCGCTTTGCCTTAAAACGCTTTGCGAACTATTCATTTATATTTATGTTTGTATGTAGGTCTACGGTTTGGAAAATTAAAGCTGAGTAGATTTTCTAAAGCTGCCTCACAGCTTTGAAAAACTCTCCCTTACTCGTCATTAGGAGACCGCAAGTCGTATTCTTTTGTAACTAAGTATAATGTTAAGCCTAGTTCCATCATAGGTATTTTCTATTTCGCCACAGAAGTTTCTCTATGTGATCGGCCTCGCGTACCAGATTTCCCTTTTTTATACTTTATACCTAAGGGTTCCTAGTTTCTTATTCCACCACTTTTATTTCTATTATAATTTTGTAAATTATATGTAAATATGTATATGTACATATGTTATAAATGGGTGGAAGTTAAATGATCGATTTTCGGATTTAAATTTCGTAAACCAAAAAAAAGTATAAAAACGCATAAAATTTGAATAATGGACGGAAAACCCATTCATACGTACAATTCATATATGTATATAAATATTGTACATACATATGTATGTATATGCACGTGAGTATGTTGGTTCAAATACTCTCTTCTCTTGCAATGCCGCACAGTGTGGAAAATAAACTTCTTTTTGTGGAAAAAATCCAATGAATATCTCGAAAACGAGAACATCTGACGAAATAAATTTAACAGTATTTTAAAGCTTTTGGGATTGATCATTTTGGAAAAATATTCTCGTTTTAAAAAATTTCAAAAATAGGGGTTTTTCCTTTTATTTTGCCCAACAGCAGTAGGCAATAACATTTTTAAGAAGTTTGAAAGTAAGTATTTTTGCTTTTCATGCTTCAAGCAATCCATTTCCATCATCGGAACCACCCTAAAACATATTTTAAAATTTCAAAAATTTTACTTTTGAAAATCGTAGTTATTTGTTCAACCAGAGGCATATTTCATAAAAGTGACAAGCGCGACAATCGCCGCTTTTTCCGGAAAATTTCAGAGCCAGAATTATTGCCGACATTTGCTCTATTTCATAGACGCCTGTAGGCAACCGTGACAACTTATTCAAAGCGATAGTGACAGTACTGGAACAATGGTGCTGACAATTGTCACTCTGACAAAATTGTCGCGGCAATAGCGACAAAACTGAAGAGCTTCATATGAAAAAGTTTTAACAGGAGAATTTTAAAAATTTGTTTATATATGTAGTATTTTTGCGCATATCATTACTTTTCTATAATTTGAATATTTCTAAGAACTGTTTTGTCAACGACAATTTTAGAACCCGACAATCACCATTTTTTCAGTTCTCAATATAACTTTGCGTAGAACTGAAATGGTGCTAAACAATTGTTGTTATGAAGCAAATCACCCACCAAACTGTTGAATTGTCACTGAGAATACGTAAAATGCCTGTCGTGACAAATTGTCACAGAATAAAATCCCCTATTTTTGAAAGCCATTTGAAAGGTTATGGTAATTTTTAAAACCAGCGTTTTTTTCTGAATTTTTCAAGCTAAAAAATACTGTTAAATTTATTTCGCCAGCTACTCCCGTTTTCGAGATATTAGATTTTGTCACAAAAACAAAGTCAAAAGTTCATTCTCCACACTGTGCGCCGTTTATTCATTCATCCGATTGGTATATCGGCGAACATTCGTTTTCTATAATTTTGTTTTGTTTTTATTCCCTCATTTCGCTTTGTTTGCCTTGTATCAGCCGGCAATCGCTTGCACATACGATATGTGGACCTGCACTGCGCACAGATGCATACATATAAAAATATGTACATACACACCTACTAAAAATGGCTTTGTAAATAAATCTGTGAATATTTACTATGCGCCCATCGATGAAGTAATCATCAGTTTTAAGATACTTATAATTTTAAATTCTGTCGATCAACTCAAAACTAAGCAAACTTGCTTAAGGTGGCTTTTTCAATGAATATACACATGCATGAATGTATGTATGTATATTTTGTATGAGCTCGAATCCAGTTGCTAAATATTTGAAAAATTCGTACAGACAAAAATATTTCGAGGCGTACAAACGAAAAAAATTTTAATAAAATTCAAAAGAGAATTAAGCAACTAATGGTTAAATGAACCAACCTTGTTGCCGTTTATGCATTTGCATTGATGTGAATTGAATCTAAAAATGATTTTTTGTTTTTGTGCCCCTATGTATATGTACATATTTGCATAACAATTTGCATGTGTTAGTGAATATTTTTAAGTGCAAATGGGAGTTGTCTTTATTTCTTTCGTAAATATTAATTCATTATGCAGTGAAATTCATTTATTTATTTGCATTAATATTGCGGAAAGTCCAAACAGCAAAGTGCGTTTTAAAATAAACCAGATTTTATTGAAAAACAAAACAACAAGTTTTTTTAATCAAAACCAGTATTTATTCAAAATTTGCTCTTATGCCTCGAATCAGCTCTTCCAATGGCCTTAAAGCTCATCCATTACAATCTCTGGAACGACTTTCTGGATGAGTAGGTGCTTTTCGCGCCGTATTGTAATGTAGTTCAACTTCACTGAGCAGTATTCTGTGCGACAATTTTAAATTGATTCTAAAAATTTCCAGCTGAGAAATGCAAACATCGAATTTAAAAATAAATACATAATATTTATGTATACAAATATAAATAATATCCAATTACAAAAAAAAAAATAAAACAAAAGTCACTAGGCCGCGAAGTGCTGTCGCAAATAAAACTGGTTTCAAGGTCAACAAAAGTGTAATTAAAATTCAATATACCGACAGTGCGAAGTACAAGCAGCTGACAGCGATAATATTATTATTCTGTTACACACATATGTACATGTATATACATACATATATACATACATATTTATAGCATTTTTATTCATAATTTCGCACACTTACATATACATATACATATACATATATAAGCTACGAATCTACATACACCTAAATCTGCATTTGCGCGCAAGCGCACATCACCAACTACACACTAGTGAATTCTCTTATCTATATACATATCTAGTTATGGACTTATGTATAATTACACGCATTAAAAATTCATTAAATTCATTGCGCCATTCCAGCTTATCTTTAATTGTCTCACTCTGATGACTCACACAGTTCTTAATCATCTTCTGCTTCTCATTTTTTTTACATTCCAGTGCCCGGTCACCCACAAATCATTCGTGCCTGCTACTTCGGTGATGTATCAAACACTCAATCGGGCTGCCAGTCGGATCCCTCTTTGCCATTCGTGAAGCAGCTGTCGTGCGACGTTTGCACTGGCAATCTATGCAATGGCTCCAGCGCCACAGCTCCCATCGCCGCCGCCATCGTGCTCTTCTTCGCCATGGCACGCATGCTGTCCTAAATTGGTTGGCACTGTCTCAGAAGTAGAAAGCAAAATGTAGTCTAAGGCTGTTTCTTCTCTACACACAGCAATATTGCTATTATTAAATACATAAATATTTTATGCTTAGTTTGTAAATCTGTGCATTTTGGACGATCTTAATACATTTATTGTACAAGTCTTCTGTATTTTCTAAAGTTTTTCGTTTGATTTAATATATACTGTACTCGAAAGAGAATTTGCGCTTAGTTGCGCCGAAAAGTATGCTTCTTTTGCAGGTGCACATCTACATACATACATACCTACTATACTTACTTATGAACGATTGTATAAATTTTTAAATAATATAAAATAAATGTATGTAATTCATAGTTTTACAAGGCTTTGTTTTTTAACAAAAACATTTAACATTTTATCTACCTTATGGGCAGTAGCGCTGGCATTTCCAGACCCGCCAGCGTCGCCGCCGCCGCCGATTCTTTTTGAAGTTGAGCACCGACCGAAGTAGAGTCCGACCGATTAATCGGCATCGGCATCGGCTAGTATCGGCACAAAATTGAGCATCGGCATCGGCATCGGCCTTTTTTCGCCGATTCTTAGGAATTTCTTCTCAAATGTTCAGGTGATGCGACAGCCAACTTTAAAAAAACATTTGCAGACAGCTCACAAAAATTAGTTTTATGGAGAACACTGCCGGCAAAAAAAATTGCCAAAAATTAACGGGATTTTATAGCAGCTTGAAACTTGCACTTCATTATACTAGAATGAAACGGTAAAAGTTTGAAAGTTTGGTGAAAATAAGCAGAAATTTTCTAATTTTTGTACAAAGTTTGAAATCTCAATTTATATGGTGTTTGTTGTATACCAGCTAGACTGGGCACATTGGATCCCACATTGTGTGGCAATTGCCGAAAAAAGGCTCGCATCGATTGGTACGGATAGACGCAAGTGGCGTAACTTGGATATATGTATGTACATACGCGCAGAAGCCAGTGAGAAAAGGCCAACTATATAGACTATATCTTCTTCTTTTTTTTGGCGCTGTAACCGCCTAAACGATTTTAGCTGAGTTCAGCAAAGCATGCCAGTCGTTTCTCCTCTGTGCCAACTGACGCCAATTGGAAACGCCAAGTGAAGCCAAGTCCTATAAACTATATGGATCTTTCAAAAAAATAAAACACAACCAAAAGTGCAAAAAGCACTTCGAAACCATACTTGGTCATGTAGCTATGGTGGCGTTAGTGCAACGTAGAAAGTAATCTCTGAGTGGTACGCAACAATTTTATTTTTTTTTTGGCAACAGTCTTGAATGAATGGAGAAAAAACAACGAAATATGACAAATCGCGTTTCACCGAGATAAATGCGAGTTCTCCACATCTAGACAAATAAATTATTTTTAAGCACCCAAAACATCGCATTGATGGGTCATCCGCCTTATAGTCCTGATTTAGCACCAAAAGGTTCTTTTTTTATTCCCGTACATCAAGGATAATCTTCGCGGACAACGATTTTCATCGCCAGAAGAAGCAGTCAATGCGTCAAAAGTCATGTTTTCACCAATCGGTTTGAGCTGTTGCAAAAGTGTATACATAAATCACGCTGAAGAGTATCAAGAAAGGCAATTTGAGCGTTTCTTTCTTAGGCATACTAAGGACTTATTTAGTGACCCTCGTACATGTATACTCGGAAGCACTATTTATTTAACAATGAGTATTACTAAGAATTCCTAAAGATGGAATGCTTTGCATGTAATGTTACTCATACGCCCCCTCCTGTTGACTTGTGATTTTAAATATGCATACATTAATTAATTTATTATACTAAATCAAATTATTTAATTCAGGAAGTATCTTACTAATAGTGGCTATGCATTTGCAATGAGGTTTTACTTTTACAGATGACGATTACCTACTTACATATGTATGTATGTTGCATTATGTTTATTCACGTTTCTACGTAGAAATTCATGATGTCACTCATACGCACTGTTGGTTGCAGACCTGTAGTATTTTCAATAGCAGTACATAGTAGCATAGTAGTAGTAAGTATGCATGCAATATAGTCAAAAAGGCATCACTTATCAAAGTCTACAGTAAATTTAATGTGTGAAAATGCACAAAAGTAAAGCCATGAATTCTAAGAGTATCAAGTCGTACTGTGGCAGTAAATATAAAGGTGTAAAATTTGAAATAAATAAAAAGAAAAACATAATAAATAACCATTTCTTTCTTTCCTTGTTGCAATTAAAAAACTATATATTTTATTCTATTTAGTTTCAGTAGCTCATTGATGCTTTATCTAAGTCCACTTGTCAGTGATTAATCTATAAGGCATTCAAATAAATTGAAAAGGTGACACTCCCACGAACAGTCAATTAGCAGCGGACTCTCAAGCAACAGTCGAAAATAAACGCCGTCGTGAGAGAGAGAAAGAGAGTTTCTGTGAGAAAATTATTTGAGGAAACAGATAAAAATAAAGCAAAAAAGTGTGAGTAAAACATTTCGATAAAAAAATAAAAAAAAAAATTGCAGGAACGACGCACACAGAAACAAACATTTATATATTTTTACGCACGCACTTCTAATTAATAATTAGCCTACACTGAGAACCGTTTTGTTGGATTATTTAATTATTACAAATATATCACCATGTAGATATTTATCTGCACGGACTTGCGTACCCTACAGGAAATTTGTTTAGCTCGTTTCAACTAATGCGGGTACTTAACTTCAACTTGTTTTCTTCCGTTTTCTATGGTAAAATTAAATTGAACTGTGTGCAATGTTTTAAATTAAAAATTATAATTTGTGAGTCATATTTACATACATACATACCTTAAATCACAAAAGCCCTAACCAGCACGTTTTTCGAAATTGCTTTTTTCACAGATATTGTTAGGATATATTAAAATACACCTTCACTAAAAATTTGAAAGTGTTGGTAACAAAAACAACGAAGTTACGCCACTTTGTAAAATGGCCTGTCCATATGTATGATTGGATTTTTATATTTATCTGTTTGCTTCTCCTGAAAAATTAAAAATTGGCTGGATAAATATTTGCATACCTTGAAAATATTTAGGCCTGCCACAAAATGTTCGAATTCGAGTTTGCGTCCTACACATTTTTTTATTTATGACCCGAGATAGAAATCACACGAAAGGAAGTCACCTTGTCTGATAACTGGTTTGGTTTCAAACGGCTCGGAAGGTCCTTCCCAATTCTGACGGAGCTGGTGGTGTTGCTCAACGTTCTATTCTACGCAGCTGTATTAATTTCGCGGGGATAAAAAAAAATCACACATCACAGCATACCTCGTCAATGGTGGATTTGCAAGGTCCAAGGCAATACAGATAATCTCGGCATAGTAAGGCGGAGGTTCATCGACTCAATTATCATCGAATTGGGGCTCGGGTTCGTCTCCTCCACTATAAACATATGCAGTACTCAAAAATAGTCAGAATTGCCTGCAGGGCATATTTCAGCTTTCAGACTGTCCAACAGGAGGTTGCCGACACTTGCGTGCCAAAGAGTAATTAACGCTGGCTGCGTCATGGCGCTCTCTCCTCAAAACAAACAAAACAGCTCTGAAGAGTGTTATATATATATATATATATGCATACATAAGTACTAACAAAATATCACACGGAGCCTCGACCAGCAACATGTGAGTAAAAATTATCAGATGAATGGATTTGTGTGCTCAGTTTGGTGGAAGCAGAGGCAAATGAAGCAGAAGCTGAAAAAAAGAAGCACTACGTAGTGGAGAAGAGTAGACTAGATATATGTATGAACGTAGGTTTGTATCCGTATGAAGGAAATACACATATCTATGCACTTACACTAGATATGCTACGGATGGACCGCGGATAAATTAAAAATACTATTTCTTTCAAAGCGAAAATTTTTTAGTATATAAGCGTGTGTGAGTGCATATAGCATCCTATATATGTATACATACATACATAAAATTTTAATTATTTGCGGAATTTTTCGTAAGTAAAAATTGCTTTTCGATGTTTGGAAAATGCTCAGGGATGCCAGTGCAATTTCTGACGTGACGTTGCGCGGTCCAAAGAGAAATCGGCATCGAAATAAATCGGGAGAGAAAGTGGACAAAGTTGACAAATTCGAAAAAAAATTTAAAAAAAAGTATTATGCATTTGAGGCGATGGAAAATCGTTTGAGTGAAGTAAAAGCGTGCCAAATCAAAGCCAAGAAAATTATGTGATAAAATTGTTTTGGAAAGCTATAAAAGTATCCTTGCATAAAAAAATTAAAACCTTTATTAAAGAATTAACTTGAAAATCAAATTGTTTGAAGATACAGGCATGTTTCCATAAAAACAAATTTAAAGTAAAACTCATAGATCATGAGATTTTAATTTAACTGCATATTCAACGCGCTGTGGTTTTAAAAGGGCTGGAAAGCGAAAAATTAAATACATAAAAGCTAAAATATACAGAAGCTTGTGTATACAAATATTGAAGTACAAATGCACGTCAGTTGAAAAGCGAAAACACTATACGTAAATCAAACAATTCCGCAGAAATTCAGTGAAATTTTATTGTGTAATAAGACTGTGCGTTTTTTCATAAATCATCGGTATTTTACAAACTCAAAAAAAAAAAACTACATTGCATGCACTGAACGAACAAAAATAAATGAATTAATTTTGTGGAACAAAGAAATGCAGCGTTTAATGTGCATAGGAGCCTTGCTGCTCAGTTTGGCCGTCAACGGTTGGTATTTATTTTGGACTTATTTTTAGTTATGTTTGTAAAAATGTATTTTACGTCTTTTGAATAAGTTAAAAAGACAGGTTAAATATAAGCCATTTAGCTTGACAGTTTAAAATTGAGGTTTCGTAAATTAAAAAAAAAAAACAAGAAGTTGTTTGTAGAAATACAAAAACTCAGATAGTTTGTTAACTTGTTGAATAGCTGCACAATTTATCATTTTTTAACCTAACTGAAGAAGTGAGTATGGGGATGCAGGATGCTTTCACTTAAGTACCAAGTTTTTAAGTCGATTGCTAAATACTTTCAAACTAATTACTTTATGATTTAGGAAAAATTTTAAAAATAACACCTTACGATCAGCTCAACTTCAACTCACTGCACCTCACCTCAAATCAACTCACCCGAACTAACTTAAACTCATCACACCTGATCCTACCACACCTGAATTCACCAAACTTTGACTAACCACAGCTGAATTCTTCACACCCTTTCACACCACACCTCAGTCAAACTCACCACATCTCACTTTGAGAACTATTTCAAGGTTTAAGATATTCTCGGGACTAAATCAGGATTTTCAAGACTATTTCGTAATTTTCGTGGCAATTTTGGAATTGTCGCATTAATCGATTTTTCAATCGATATATATCGATATTGTTATCGACAATTTTATATTTATATATTTTACTATTATCAATATTATTACCAAAATAATTATGGTATTGCTATCAGTATAATAATCGATAACGCTACCGATATGATAATCAATATTTTTATTGGTTTATTTATCGAAATATTTACTGTACTTATCGATATGTTTAGTCTCGAAAAACCCGTAGGGACTATCCCTGGATTCCTAAAAATTTCGAAGCAACCTCAAAAATCTCCAAATAGTCTCGAGAACGCCGAAAATTCTAGAAACCTGGAAGTAGTCTCGAAATAGTCCCGAAAATCCTGAAATACTTTCGGAAATCCCGAAGTAGTCCCACAAACTCCGAAGAAGTCTCAGAAATCCAGAGGTAGTCTCCAAAAATTCCGAATAGAGAATCCAGAAATAGTCTCGAAAATCCCGAGATTCTTTATTTTTACACTGAGTAGTTAAAAGCAAGTGGATATTTAGTTCAGTAAAACATAGAAATATATGGCTGAATGAAAAGACTTCGATTCAATCGACACACATACTTAAAACATCTTTACAGATGGTTGTAAAATAGCTGAGATGTTGGCAGCTTCTCTGTGCAGAGTTTGAACTTCAACATTCGTTCATTCTGCCCGGACTCTGCGGTTTCCGGAATTACGTATACGCAATGGCAGCTGTGTTGCTGATGCGTCATACCTATCCGCCATTTTTTTAGTTATGTACATAGGTTGCATTCAAAATATATTTACACATAGACAGGAAATTGGATGCAACTCGGAAAAATTAATTATGCGATTTATGAAAGTTTCAATTATTCATTAACAATTAGGTTAAAACAAAATATCCGTTGCTTACGTCGCCAATAGTTTATATTTACATATGTATGTATGTATATATGTGTATGTGGATATGCATATTTAGGATGTATGCACGCACATTAGGGTGGTCCAAAGAAAGTAAAGGCCGAATTGTAATTTTCCCCAAGGACTTTTCTATATATAAACAAGTTTTCATCGCAATGGCATATAATGCTTTAAAATCTATATTTTTCAATCCGCAAACTCTTTTTCTCTTCAGAGACTTCAAGCAATAATATCCAATTAATTATTTGCAATGTAAAAAAGAGTTAAATAAACAAAAACCAAAATGTTAAATAAACAATTGGGTTGAAGTCTTCTAAACTTATTGCATTTTTTCGGGGCTTTTAGGGACCTGTACAAAAATATTGCAAAAGTTACTTGCTTGCAAGAAAAAATGCAGAATTCAAACTACCTGTGGTGGTAAAAAAGTACTTTTTACATTGCTTTCAAAGTAATTGAATTTCCGACGGGGTATATACATACATATTTATATGTATTGTTATTATATATAATAAGCTATATACGTACGAGAATTCTACGTTCAAATAACATATCATATGTGGGGTTAATTTGACCGTCAGGATCATATGAAACGTCAATCTTCCTATTCAATATTTTTTTTTTTCATCAAATTTACCCAACTACGATTAGTAAATTTGTTGAATCAAAAGGGGGTTAACAGTTAAAAAAAAAAAAACATGTTGACCTCGATGTGACCTTGAAATTGTCCCACACGTTATTTTGCCACTCGGCATTGGAAAGCTTGTTTTTTAATGAATTTTCCTTTGTTTTTAAAATAGTTTTAAGTTAAAAGAAAAATGGGCTGGGTGGGGGTAACGTTCGAAAAGAATACCCCATACATTACACCGTGCGTGCAGTAAATTTTACACACAAACAAATTAATATATTCGCGAAAATACGGAAAAACTGCGTTTTTAACTTTTCACTCTGACGTCAGCATTTTTTAAAGGACTTTGCAATTTCAAAAATATGATTAATTCAAAAAATTGAATATCCTTGAAAAAGTGCAATATTTATTTTTGAAAAAAATTACAAATTAAGGACACACGACCACATCCTCGAATTTCTTTCCGCTAACGTTATTAACTTAAAAAAAATTAAATTAATTAAAAAGCGTATTTTCAATACTTAGTCGTCTTTGTAAACCAATTATTTACTGTTTTTCAATTCTACAGAATTTTCCCTTCAGCCTTACTATATTTGGCCCATTGTTTCATGAGTATATTGATTGTTTCGTCTGTTTTGAATTTTTTTTTTTTTTGCTTTTGTCGCACGGTGTTATAAGCTATAGCTTCTGTTTAAATGCATTTTGATTTATTTTTTTTTTTAATTTTGCTTCTCTCTCACAGCCATAGCCATTCAATGTTACTCGTGCGAATCTGTTTACAACACAAATTGTGGTGATGATTTCGACATGGAAGACGACTTCAAGTGGGACTGTTCGCACGTTGCCCCGCCTCGTTATCTAGAAAACGATTTGGATATACGGAACGCCACCGCATGTATGAAGCGGGCGTATAAAGGTTAGATTATATATAGTACACTATTTGTTTACCTTGGAACCGAGTTTCCCAGTGTGCTTTTAAGTTCTCTACCTACATATCGTACGTTTAATAGTAATATACAGAATTATTGAAAAATTGCAATTTTGTGGCAAAACGCAATCAAAGTTTGCCCAATTCATACAGTTGGTATACCAAAAGACAGATGGAGAGACATACATACATATATCTTAGCCATCTTTGGGAAGTTTAGTCATCTGTTATTATATTCTCTCTTCAAAAACGTAAATTTTGAGTGACATCTCTATATTATTAAACGTGCGATATGTTGTTGTTGTGGCAATACATCCAACAGATTCATTTTTTTTCCTTCCACTTGCAGTGAGCGGCATGCAAAGAATCGAACGCAGTTGTTTCTTCGGCGATGTCAACGACACCGTTGTAGGTTGCCAATTGGATCCCACGCTGGATGAGGCGCAGGCGATATCTTGTCACATTTGCGACAATGAAGACTTTTGCAATCACAGCAACCAGCCGCAAGCATGGCCGCAATATTTGGTCGTTATCGGATTTGCGTTGACGGCTAAACTCTTAATTTGGCTGAGCTAAAATACAAATACAAATATTGTTCAAAACACAAGAACCCACTCCAAATAATAAGTAGGAATAAATAGCTTAAATTTAATTTCCGTTTTTATTAGACCATACACGACTATGTACATTTCGCTCGAGTTCTTCAAAAATATATCAACTTAAAATTTCGCATAAAACTACGTATTTCTGTGTTCATGGTAGATATTTAATCATATCGGTGGAATTTGGCTGCGAGTTTTTGAAGCTAATCACAACAAAATATTACTTCTGCTCTGGCTGGAAGGTAAAAAACTAAGTACGAACTGCTAAATATTTTAATTCTTAGTATTGAAAATGAACGCAGTTTGTGCTATAACGTCAAGGCGCAGAACACAAATTTGAGGTGAAGCTCGGCCAAACAGTTAGCTAAAACTTAAGCTTAAAAAATTTTTATTTAAAAAATCAATATTTTGAGTTAATGCACTTTTGAGGAGCTCGTGCAATATGTGTGTAACTCGATTTTCGGTTTGGTAGACTGTAGCGAAATAGAAAAATTCGATATATATGTAGATAGACATATAATTAAAAATGCAAGAAACAACCGCAAAGAATATGTTTTCTTATACATAGGAGTAAGGTTAAAATAAAGTAAATAGAAAACAACGCAGGTCAATTAATTAAAGCCAATTGGCCAGTTAAACACAATTCAACATAACTACTTTACTCATTTCGAGGTAGGTAAGGTTATGCTACGAAGACTGCCACTCTCCATATAGAAACTAAAGGACCAGGAAACCCCACTAGCTGATTTGCGCCATAGTTTGATTCATGCAAGTTAACGAAGATAACACGATTCGTACATTTGTACAGAATTTTACATTTTGGCAGTCACAGAGTGGTGTTGTTTAGGAATTTGAGTTCAGCTCAATAAAAGAATTTCCGAACAACACCGCTCTGTACCTGCCAAAATGTACAAATCTGTGCAATGTGCCCATTGCCATATATGTATGTGTGAGAACCAAGACGTCATTCTTTGTGTACACTTCTCGTCACAAAGTATGCTCGGCAAATAAAAAAATTCAAAAATCAACGGTATTTTAAAGGCACTTGAAACTTGCACTTTATTATACTAAAATTGAATATCCGAAATTTTTATAAAAATATTATTAACTTATTCACTGTAGGTCATTAGGTGAGAACACCCCTTTGATGAAATTTTTATTTTTATTTTTATGGAATTTTAAAATCAGATTGACAAGTAGAATATGCTATATTTTTATAAGAAATTAATGAATATGAAATAAAGAAAGGGAAAACTGTAAATACTAACGGTTAAATGGGTGCACTACTTATTCAAATGACGAGGAGTGCATCTCATAGCCAACTCGTTAAAGAGACTGAGTTGCACTGTAAAGCATTAATATCAGACTAGCCGTCAAAATAGATGGTGATCGATCTCCCTGTGCAGTAAGAGTTCCTAAGACGGAGAACCGGCTCTTTGGCTGGAAAACATTAAAGCACTCTGGTTAACTCAGGCTTTTGTTTTATAATAGTTGGATGGCGCTGCCAATTTTATCGCTTTGCTTAAGAGTACCGTAATCTAGCTGCCTGATAGTTCGAACTATAGTATCCAGAATTCTAGAATGTCCAAATCGGGTTTCCCTCTTAGCTTTAATTTATGGTGATCACGTTTCTACCAAAAATGTCGCCTTTTGATTGCCCCTTTCTCTTTTCGTGTTCGATTCATAATTAAAGGAAAAGGGTGAGAAAATTTTTTTTCTTAAAATGACACACTCTCGTAAGGCAAAAAACGCACATTTTCTGTCGTTTGAAGTTTTGTCAGTGGAGATAGATGCCCTGAAAATCAGATGGCTCTTTAAAACGACAATATTATGAAATACGTGAGTTAGACAACGACAAGAAGGCGAAGACATGCCCTTTGACAGGGTTGAGTGCAACATCAAACGCATTTTGCACCGAGTAGGGCAACAATTTTTGGAAGCAACGAAATCAACATTAAACAATAAATCCGAAAATAAATCTACATAACTGGATAGATCGTTCCATGAATAGTACGAGTTTTCAAAAATTGGCATGGGAAAAATATTTTTTCACTCTCCGGAAACCCAAAAATCTTAACTATGCGTCATATTTATAGCTTTAGTATTAGTTTTTTTTAGTATTTTGAAATTATAAATACAGTGCCGGACAAAATTATTGGCACAGAGAATTTTTCGCAATATATGCAAAGTTTTTTATTCTAATTTATTTTCAATATTTTTTAATAAAAATATAGTTCGTACTTCACCAAAAAACATAAAAACAAAATCTCTAACCTTTGTGCAAAACTCAGAAAAATTCAATAAATTTGCATACTAATTTGCAACTTCTTATTTAGATTTTTTAGAGAAATTCTAAGTATGTAGTTTTATAGCCCAACTAATTTTAGTATAACAAAGTGCAAGTTTGAAGTATCTAAAAAATTGCGTTGATTTTTGAACATTTTTTTAGTAGAAGGTGTTGCTCATTTTCTCCATACAAAAAATAATTGTCGAACATACTTTGTACGGAAGAACCTAACTGAAAAAAATTGCCAAAAATCAATTTAGCACCTTCAAGCTTGCACTTTGTTATACTAAAATTAGTTGAGCTATAAAACTGCATACTTAGAATTTTTCTCAAAAATCTGAATAGAAAGTTGCAAATAAGTATGCAAATTTATTGAATTTTCCTGAGTTTTTCACAAAATTTAGAGATTAAGTTTTTATGTTTTTTGGTGTAGGACGAACTATATATTTATAAAAAATTATCGAAAATACATTAGAATAAAAAACTTTTCAGATATTGCGAAAAATTCTCTGTGCCAATACCTTTGTCCGGCACTGTATGTATGTGTTTAGTTGTTTGACGCTATGGACATGAGAGGCATCTGTTGCTCTCTTCTCCATCGTTACACGGTGCAACACCAAAACAAATTCTTTACGGGAAAATTTCTTCCGCTTGTGGCCTCTCCTCGTTTTTTTTTTCTCCCAACTAATTATACAAAAGAGAAAGTGTTCAGAAGAACCAAAACGTGAACTGCTTCTTATGCTCATTAGGGTAGAGCACAAACTTTGATTCAATCTAAAGACTCTATAACCTTTGAACAAAAATTAAACTATGAGGATCTATCAGACTATTTTTTCCTACATATTGACCCAAGTGACAGTTCCTGGAGAAAACGATGACTAGTTTTCGAAAAATTTTACTTTTCAGCGAATAAGTAGGTGTGCCTCTAATCTACATGCCACAGTATATACTACATGTGTACATACATACATACCTATAGGTAATAAATAAAAGTAAGCTAAAAATGTCCCATGCGCCTTTAGAATCTGCTCTTGGCAAATGTTTGAAAGAGACGTAATTTTGTCGCAATCATCATAATTTTATTTCCGTCGTGGGAGATTTCAGTTCCACCAAGTACGACCAAGAGTATTCGCCATTGGTAAATAAAATTTTATTTTTTTGGAAAAGTAATATTTGTTTGAAAAAGTATATTGCACTAGTGAGAACAGTAGAACGCGATGAGGTCAGCGCTAATATTTTTGTTAATTTGTGGCTGCATATCAGCAGGTAGGTGGAGAGCAACAAACAAATCCAGTTTAAAAACCTTGAACTTATTTACACTATTAGTACTGTTTGCATATTTGTCTTTAAACCGAATCTGAATCTCCAAACATCTCCCATCAGCACTTAGTATCGAATGCTATGATTGCGAGTCGCTGAGCGATCCACGCTGTAATCAATATTTCGATCCCGAAGGAGTCAAGCAAACCGACTGTGATGACGCGGATATGCCAGCGTATTTGCATAAGTACGAACGTCGCATAAAAGCTACCGGCTGTTTAACGAAGGTGCACGAGGGAGGTAAGTATGAGCATTGCGTGGAAAGGGCAAGGGTTCTACATAAAATTCTGCAACTGATTTTTATATTCTTTCTTTCGATGGTAAAAAAATTGTGCTCACCTTCGTTCGATTTTTCTTCCTTAGTCGCTGATCGCCGCGACGTAGCTGTTATTTCGGTGATCCGGAGGATGTTGATGAAGCCTGTGAAGCCCCAGATCCGTACGTGCCATGGGCTAATTTGATTTCGTGTTCAGTTTGCACGGAAGACTTGTGCAACGTAAATGCCCTCAATGAGGCCCAGCACTCCCTAAGTGTTTGGCATACACTAACCTTGGTCGGATTAACTTTAACGGCACTGGCTTTGAACCGCATTCAAGGGATGTTCTAACAATAGTTTAGGTGTTGTGTGTCTTGTACTGTATTCTCACTATAAAGACACACGAAATGAAATTTACTTTATAATTCGTAGATATTTTTCTGTATTCTTTTAAAGACCCTATTGGTTTCTATACAGAGTAGTTATACAAGTTTATAAAAATAAAACTTCTTAAGGTGAGCGATACACACATGAAAGCCGATAGTCTTTGCCACTGGTATACACCATGATAATAGCATAGTAAGCTCAAGGCACATAAATACAGGTAGAAGCCAAAATGACGTTGCTCTCATGAGAACCAAACCTTTAAACTTCAACTTGATTTTATTTTATTTCCTATATTTCGTTACGCTTAAAATGTCATGTCGTTATGCGGTTTATACTTAGTGTATGTGTTAAAAATGCAGCACCTGAAGCGTTGTTTTTTATGTGGTGTTAAATATAATGCAGACATCACTAATTTTTTTAACGTGCCTCAATGCCCTCGGCGTAAGGAGCGTTGTGTTAAAAATGCAGCACCTGAAGCGTTGTTTTTTATGTGGTGTTAAATATAATGCAGACATCACTAATTTTTTTAACGTGCCTCAATGCCCTCGGCGTAAGGAGCGTTGGGAAAGCAGCTGTGGGGTAGAGCTGCAGCGAAATGCCTTGCTGTGCGTTAAGCATTTTAAAGCAGCAGATTTCATAAATGCACCAGGAGGTACAGGAAAGGCACGTTTGATGCCAAGTGCTCTTCCTATGACCCTTATGCCGGAAAGTCCTTCCAACAACACTGCAACTCATAAATCAAGTTGTGAAAGCTTAATAAATGATCGCGCTTCACAAACTGAGTAAGCATTGTTAAAACGCGAATATTTATTGAAATATTTTTAATTTAAGGCGTTTAGTGGAGACTTAGAACAATCCAGCTACAAACTCGAAATTCTGTTGCTGAAGTCAAGAATTGAAAATCTGGAGGGTGAAAACTCAGCACTCAAGACAGAGTTGGAGAAAGCCAAACTTATTGAAAATGCATTACAGGGAATGTCGCAATCATTATTTGTGTTCCGTTGTTTTATTGATTGTCCAACGTTATGCCTAGTACATATATCGCTTTATACATACATTTGTATATTATACAAAATTAAAACAGGTACTATAAATATAAACTTTCAATGTATAAAAAAATAGAAAAGAACATATAAATTAACAAATTTTAACTAAAGAAAATAAATAAATAAATACAAAACTTCAAATTTACTTAAAAACGTCAACCAGCGAAATGTAATTTTTTTATTTTTCCTTACACCCGCTCATTTTTATTTTTACTCTCCCGAAAACTTTGACTTTTGTAGGTTTGATGTCAACTTGGCTTCTACCTGTTTTTATTGTACCATGTAGTAAGCTAAAACCGTTCTCTCAATACGTCGGCCATGATGTTTTTTGAAGTTTGCCAACATTTTAAAATCGTATAGAATTGAGAGTAAAAAAAAGGAATTCTTCAAAGTTGTTGTTTGAGTTTGAAAATGAGAATGTGTGTGAGTTTGTGTGTAAAATTTTAAAATTAAATTGCTTGCAAACGTCAAGAATTTGAAAAATTTTTCTCAGCGGTTCTACCTTCCTATTTTTTTATCATGGTATACACCATTGTATAGGCTTACAAGTATGGAAAGCGCCATTTTGTTTGTTTACATTTGAAAACAGCTGAGATCACCTGATTTTCAATTCTCTCATTCTCCGCACAGAGTTACATTCAAGTTTCAGAAAAAACTTTAAAATGTAAATTGAGAAATATTTTAGAAAAATGTGTTTTTATTCATTTGAATTCAATAAAAAAGAAATTAAAAATGCGTGCCAAGTCTTGCATTTCCAATAATAACGATAAATGTGTATGTTCCAGGCAATAATTTAAAATATTTGTGAAACTTATCGTTTTGCACTAAAATACAACAATGTGTGTAAAATTCGTTGTCATTGCTTCTGTTTTGAATATTATATTCGTGCCTGCCGGTGGAAAAAATAGGTAAATTTGCATTTATTTTCAAGAAAACATATCAGTTAAAATATATTTCTTTCCAGAGCGACATACGGACAAGTAAGATGATAAATTTGTATGATGAATATCGCGGAAAAACTTTTGTATCAAAATTTCTATTTTATTTGCATTTGAATTATGATATCAACAGGGATGATTTGGGGTGTATTTTTTGAAGACAATTTTCTTATAAATCTTGAGATTGATGATTTATTTTAGAATTAAAAAAGGTAGTTTATATTAAAAAATATATTTACACTAGCAGTATGTAAATTACTTTTATTCCGAATTGAAACGATTTTAATGAATGTTCATGGTTACCATTAATAGTAGTATGACAGTTAGATCTAAATGCATATTTGACAAGAAAGATAGAATACAAGATTGCGCCGTCCTGGCGGCGATGACATATCTGTACAAAAAGTAATAAAAGTCGAATTGGATGTTGAAAGAAAATGTGAGAACAGCAAATTTTCTTAATAATAAATTTTTCGATAAGGAACGTGTTTTGATTGTGCTAATTTGTAATAGCCTTATTCATAAACAATAATGTAGCTTAAAAAAGGCTTATAAATTGAAAAACGTTTGTAAACGGCAATTTAAAAAGCTTTTTAAAATTTTTATTTTTTATTAATAAGGCAATAAAAATATGTGATTTACAATAACTTTTAACAAAGGAAATACGAAATAAGGTGATTTTTGCGGAAGTGGGTATTAGTGAATTTCAATGCATTTAAAGTTTCTGAGGTTTCGTTTACCTTTAGATCAGAATTGTCAAAATTGAGAAATTCAAAGTAGCGATACAATAATCATAGAAAAGAAGATTGCGCCCTGCTGTGATGATGAGTAAATTTTTACTTTTTTTTAATATTGAATGGCGCAACACAACAACTCTTTTTGTTGCACGAAACCCTTGAACACGTGCCTGTCATCTATTTCTTCTGTTTCGACATTTCGGTATTTTGCATTTCTTTCATTTTGACGTCATTCGCATTGTCAGATTTTTGAAATTCGTATTGGTTCGACATTCTGCTATTTCATAATTCTTTCATTCTCATGTCATCCATCTTCCATTTCTTACCTTCCATTGCCGTTCGCATCGTCGAACGTGCCTGTCAAACACTGCCGCCATCATGCTTTTCAGTTTGGCAGGCACGTCCGCTGTTTGGCAGGCACGTCTGCTGTTAGAAAGAGACATTGTGGAAGAATACAAGTGAGATATCTTAGGGTTGACAGATAGTTGACAGGGTGTTCAATATGGCGATGACAGTGTGAACAATATGGCAGCCAATATGGCATACAACACCGAATGGCCCGAAGTAGCAAAACTACGACCCGAATGAAACGCTTCGTGAAAATCCAGGGTTGCGAAGTGGTATTTTGTTGGAAAATATAAAAGCCAGGATTTTGTGCAGCGCCGAATTTTAACAAAAGAGGGTTTTGTGTTCTCAAGATGAACAGAAAAGGGTTGCTGTGCTGTTTCGTTTTAAGCTTATTTTAATCTTAAGGTATCTAATTAAATATTAAAAGGAGACAAAAATTAAAGCAAAAATTTAAAATATATGTACATATCTGAAAATTTTAAATAAAATATATATTTTCACGAGAGACAAATTAAATAAAATGGGTTAACTTTAGGGGAAATATACTTATCAGATTGGATCAGATAGCGCTTTTACGTTATAAATAAAAATAATTCCTACTTAAATTCTATATAATTTTGGTGACGTATTTCTAAACTGACCCTGAGATCTGTGAAATAATACATATTTATGTGCATATATTGTTGATTATGCTCTAAATCGCTAAATAATTCTTGCAGAAATCAGCACCATTGGAAAGTGAAGTGACAATAGGCTGGTTTTCTTTAAATTCGAATTATTGTTATAAAAAATTACAATTATTGTTTGTTTCCATTTCGGTCAACCGCGCAAATTATTGATTAAAAAAATGTCGTTTAAAAATAGCAGATTTTGTTTACTTTTGAATAAGACTTTATCGAGTGCGCTATAAAGACAGGGGGATAAATGCTGTAAAGAAATATATGTTGAGTCCAATCGGTTTTTTGCTAATCCGGTTTTTGTGTAGGTATAAACAAGGTATATTAAAAAAAATACCTCTCCATGAAAAAATATCGTTATTTTATTTAAAATTAATCGGAATTTTATGGGGGGTTATAAAAACTCGTTTTAATCGAAACTTTGTTTTTTCGGCTATATTTGTTATTTATTGGCCCAGATGCAAATATTGAATGAACTAACATATTTTAAATATTTACGGAACTACCATTTGTATGCAACCGTGCCTATCCTGTATTCAAGTAGATGTAATTCGAAAAATTTAAACGGATTTCTTCAAATCAACCTGAGCTGCGGACATATTGCGAATTCATTTTAAAACATTAACCACTACATTATATTAGTATTAAATACTTTCAATTAAGAAACAATTCTTATTAGAAAATATGAATCGTTTTATTTTAAATATTCCAATGTATATTTTTTGTTAATGCAGATAGTGCGGATTTAACGTATTTTATAACCGTTACATGGGGAAAATAAATTTAAGGCAGATTGTTATTAACAATTTTTACACAATTTACGATTGCAATCAATTTCTTTCAAAACTATAATCTAAATGATTGCAAGTTGTATTTTTTACGATCAAAACAGATTCCAATATTAGGTATATTATGCAAATGCAATCCAATTTGATTTGAGTTATTCAGTTTTAGATACATTTATATTTCTGTGTTCGTATGGAATAGTAGTTTATGTCGGGAAGCTGGCTTTAGTATAATCCGGCATTGCCTTTATTATTTACAACACAAGGAATTTTTTGATGACCCTTAACAAGAATATGGACGTGCTAGTATTGGAACTATTTCTTGCACGTTTATTTATCCAAAATTTCTTCAGCGGCTCGGCGCCAGTGAGGGTATGCTGCGAATGCCGCATTATACTAAAACCAGCCTTTTGACATAAGTTACTATTCCATACGAGTGGGGCACGTGCGAAATGCGGATTTTCCCAGTTGCAGTACTGCAGTAACTCGACACCTTCCTCACCAACCGCTCTGTCCTCTATGAGCTTCTTAATGTAACTGCAAATAAAAGATGGAAATTTAAGAAAAAATACTATCACAGCGTTTCACTTGTAGCGTTCCACTCTTGTAGTATATTGGCTATCAAGCACCAGAAAA